AGGCCACTCAATTATGGATCCCGTGGTAACGTGACATTCCTGGAACTCAACTTTAATGTCAGTGTCCGACCGAACCTCTCCCCATACATTCAATCCAGACACTTCACCGAACCAGGACTGTTTTGGGTCGAAACCTCCTCCTAGTTCGTCTTGGTCTTGTCCAACGACTACGGTACCTCCGTAATCAATCAAGGTTCCAGTTTCAAGGCCAGAGCCACTCACGACTACTTCTCCATCCATTCAGATTTTATAATCTCCGTTTTCGTTGCTCCATGTGAAACAGATGTGGTGAAATAACCCATCATCAGGAATGCCTATATCACCCACCCTTTCGAAAAAAAGAAAAAGGAAAGGAATTAGAAATTAGGAGAAAAAAAAGATAACGTGAACTATGATACGTTTTATCGAAGCTGGTGCAAATGCTTTTTTGAAACATGGAATTGCCTCTGCCCTCCACCTCCTCAAGATCTTAATCCTGATAAAACATAGAGCAGTTTCATCCTTGCTTACATACAATGAAAAGTTTGAGAAAGATATTGCAGGTATTTTTCAAAAGCGAAGGCAAGGAATTTTTTATATTTGACTATTGCGATACTATTCTATTCCTATAGGGTAAATTAGCACAGAGTTGACTAAACCTCTGTTTGTTATGGATCATCACTCGGAAAGTGGGACGAGGGCAAAGAAGCACTTCATTGGCTTGTCCTGAGACAGCTAGCTGAACACACATTTTTCAAGGTCGGCTTCGGAATCGCGAGAAAACCACTTTGCAATCATGCAGACTGTAACAGCAGGCAGAGACTGCCGGATAGCATCTTCTTTCATTGCATAATCCGTGATGCGGCCTTCTAGAGCCATGACTTTGTCTGAAAGGTAAATACAATTGCGTTTAGTTGTAGTGAATTAAAGCACCCCTGTGTAATGTATGTTGACTATGCTGAAGCTATCATTTTAGCGGAGAGAATGAAAAGAGAATGCATTAGACAACTGCTGCGTTAAGGACGAGCAATAACCTTTCCCATCAAAATCAAAAGCTTCTTGGAAATTGTAACTTCAAATCAATTACTGATGTTATTTTTAGCATAAAATACACGTCGAGGTGCACATCGTTTGTAACAATGATTCTGAAATTAAATCGTAATCTTTCTTGCATGGAATCGATCGATAACGGTAAAGTGTGAGTCTAAAATTGAACAAGTCGATGCCGATGAAGAATGGGGTCACGAAAAGCTGGTTGTCATTATAGATAAACGAAACATTATTTGATGGTTTCAATCCTACCCCCTTCCTTTCTCCCGTGCCTTAATCTCTTACGTTACGTTAGAGCCCAAGGTTACCAAGATTGGGTAATTGATTTTTCAACAAAAACCCCTGGCTTACCATTACGCAACGTGCGACTTTGAGTACCCAACGAATAAGTCTCGGAAGTAAGATAATATAAATTAAGCTGAGCCTAAAAGTGGGGTTCCAGTCACTCAATTCTTCTGCCCTTCACTTCATTAGAACTCCTCACAGGCTGTTGAAGAGTCTGTCTCTACAAATTTATGGACGCGTCAGGTAGATGGGGGAGAGGGGGGGGGGGGGGGGGTTATTGTATAGTCTATCGAAGAGTAGGGGATCTAGGGAAAAGCTCGCATTTCATTTTCTGACCTTTCTTCCAAGGCTGACATTCGTTTTCTTGCCTCTGCTCTGTTCCTGCAAAGTTGGGAAAGAAAGAAAAATTGTTCAAATGTCGCTTTGCAATGCAACGCAGTTAAAGGCAAAGTATTTAAGAAAACCGAAACCCAGCAAATTATTTATCTATAGGCTTCTTTCTTCTCTTTTTCCTTGTTTGCACGCTATTAAATATTATGGACATCACACTCCTGCTAGAAATACGACGAACAACAGTTTTAAACGTAAGTTTTAAAAGGAAGGTTAGTTCGGGAAAGTATATATTTTCTTATAAACTGGCGGCATAGGTTAACAGCATCACAATCCTTACCTTTTTCCCGAAACTTGTGACTTTCAGATGAAATGCTTTCTTCAAGTCTCATACTCGAAATAATGAAAGGTGTTTTCAACTACACCTTTATAGATCCTGTGCGATTCTTTCTCAGTGCCTAAACTCCCTTCTTGACAAAAGGAGACAAAGGAATGCTTTCTGATGGATCTGTTTCTTGGCTACCAAACTATTAACGTCTGAGGTGCCCTGTAATTTCCTAATTTCAAATTGAACATACTGAGCTAACGATAAGAAATTATTGAATAACTACAGGCGGTAAAGCTCTAGCTGTGAGATGTTCATCTCGCGATCATGGGTATCATTCTCTTTCCGTATTTCAATTTAACGAAAGGAGGTAAAAAAACAATGGCGAGTGGAAATAGTCGCACACGTTCGTCAATTTCTCCCATTCGACTCGACTGTTCAATCCGAGTATATTTAAATTTCGCGCTTCGTAAGCAAGAAAAACTGAATAATCTCCTCCCACGATTTTTTTGTGTTTACACAAACCGACATCTAATTGATACCTGTTCATCCTTTTGTGTGATAGCAGGAGGTGAGATTGTTTTCGCATAGTCATGTTCTGCTAGTTTCTTTTTTTTTTTGCTCAACGAATAATAAAGTCCTAACATCTGCTTTCTACAAAGGGAATATTTGGGAAAACTGTTGATAGCTTTATAATTTTAATAAAGACTGTTAGAATCCGTCGTAAAACTATGTTAGTTCAAGCAAGACCTGTTTTTTTTTCTCCGAAAGAGAATATAAAACAAACCAAAACAAAATTCGCAACTTCTCCATTGTGAGACTTGTGAGTAAAGATTGTTAAAATCCGCTGTAAAACTCTGATAGTTTTTAATGAGAGAGACCTACCTTTTTTGGCAAAAGATAAATGAAAAAAATATATTTTTGGAATTTGCGAACCTTTGGCTCGATACGCTAAACGAGGGTCAAGTCTACCCTTGGGTACACCGATGGAGATGGATTTTACCGGTGTATATTTACACTACCCACTCCCCCAGTGCAGCAAAATTGTCACTCCGGTAATTTTCTCGATCAGTTACGAGCTTTTCCGCCTCCCTTCGGCCAAAGTCCCTCAGGACTACCAATTACTTAGGACTCTTGTTTGATGCTTGAGGGAAAAGTTGACCCGGAACAATTGGCCATTTCTTGATACGTTGGCTACCAAACTATTAACGTCTGAGGTGCCCTGTAATTTCCTAATTTCAAATTCAACATTCTGAGCTAACGATAAGAAATTATTAAATAACTACAGGCGGCAAAGCTCTAGCTGTGAGATGATCATTTTGCGACATATGAGTCATGGCGAAATCATAGGAGTTTGTATGGGAATATTTACGACCGCTCTTAGGAATACGTACTTACGTAGTAAACCTAGAAATGGATGACTCGCTATCCGATCAAAATAGTAAGCGGTCAGATAACAAGCAATGCACTGTAAAAATTAAAGTGAGGTATTTTTAATGAGAATTTGACTGTATTTTTTTTATTCCTAAAAGCGGTCGTAAATATTCCCATACAAACTCATATAATTTCGCCATTACTCTTATTTCGCAATAGGATCATCTCACAGCTAGAGCTTGGGCCGCCTGTGGAAGCTGAAAAGAAATTGATCTAGTACAAATTGTAACGTCTTGACACTGAGTACTTCAGCGAAAGTTAGGATCAAAACATTACATCACAATCCTTCCCTTTTTCCCGAAACTTGTGACTTTGAGGAAAAAAAGTGATGAAATGCATTTTCCAAGTTTCAAACTCGAAATACTGAAATGTGTTTTCAACTACACCATCTTTAAAGATCCTGTTTGATTCGTTCTCAGTGCCTTTACTCCCTCCGTTATAAGAGGAGACAAACGAATACCGTTGTGCTAAGTTATTTCCACGTTGTGGAATAACTGAAAAGAAATTGATTTCGTACGAAGTGTAACGTCTCGACACTGAGCACTTCAGCGAAAAAAGACATGTTTGCATCTAATTCCATTATCGTTGACTTGATAAAGAAGTTTAGACAACTTCAAAATGTCTGATTTTGGTAAAAATTCGAACCAAGATAGTTTGAAGTTTTTCAATTGAAAGCGAATCTGTTCTTGCAGATTGAAACACCCGTTATAAAAAATTTCCTTCAAGTGTTTTTAAAAAAATGTTTTTGGGATTCAAGTTTTATTACCTGTTCTACGAAGTTTTCTTTCTCGAAAATCCTGCCCTTATGCAACTTCAAGGAATGAGAACGAAAGTGCCGGTATCACACATGACCAGTCGACCTCATCGCCTGAAAAAGACTAGCAGTATGCAGTCGAAACGTCGCGATCTACATCACACTTGACTACATCGTGAGACAAACGAAAAATTTGGCTTTTATTGTTATTCTCCACGATGAATAACCACAACCTTTTCTATGAAAATGATAATAAATGATAACGTTAGGACTTTATTATTCGTTGAGAAAAAAAAAAAAAGAAACTAGCAGAACAGGACTATGCGATAACAATCTCACCTCCTGCTATCACACAAAAGGATGAATAGGTATCAATTAGATGTCGGTTTGTGTAAACACAAAAAAATTGTGGGAGAAGATTATTCAGTTTTTCTTGCTTACGAAGCGCGAAATTTAAGTATACTCGGATTGAACAGTCGAGTGGAATGGGAGAAATTGACGAACGTGTGCGACTATTTCCACTCGCCATTGTTTTTTTACCTCCTTTCGTTAAATTGAAATACGGAAAGAGAATGATACCCATGATCACGAGATGATCATCTCACAGCTAGAGCTTTACCGCCTGTAGTTATTCAATAATTTCTTATCGTTAGCTCAGTATGTTCAATTTGAAATTAGGAAATTACAGGGCACCTCAGACGTTAATAGTTTGGTAGCCAAGAAACAGATCCATCAGAAAGCATTCCTTTGTCTCCTTTTGTCAAGAAGGGAGTTTAGGCACTGAGAACGAATCGCACAGGATCTATAAAGGTGTAGTTGAAAACACCTTTCATTATTTCGAGTATGAGACTTGAAGAAAGCATTTCATCTGAAAATCACAAGTTTCGGGGAAAAAGGTAAGGATTGTGATGCTGTTAACCTATACCGCCAGTTTATAGGAAAATATTTACTTTCCTAAACTAACCTTCCTTTTAAAACTTACGTTTAAAACTGTTGTTCGTCGTATTTCTAGCAGGAGTGTGATGTCCGTAATATTTAATAGCGTGCAAACAAGGAAAAAGAGAAGAAAGAAGCCTATAGATAAATAATTTGCTGGATTTCGGTTTTCTTAAATACTTTGCCTTTAACTGCGTTGCATTGCAAAGCGACATTTGAACAATTTTTCTTTCTTTCCCAACTTCGCAGAAACAGAGCAGAAATGAATTCCCTTTGGATAACTACTTGGCTGCTCGCTGGTGTATTTGTTTCAGCGTTGCCCTCGGAGGACAGAAAGCTGGAGGATAGGCAAGAAGACAAATGTCTGCCTTGGAAGAGAGGTCAGAAAATGAAATGCGAGCTTTTCCCTGGATCCCCTACTCTTCGATAGACTATACAATAACCCCACCCACCCCCCCCTCTCCCCCATCTACCTGACTCGTCCATAAATTTATAGAGATAGATTCTTCAACAGCCTGTGAGGAGTTCTAATGAAGTGAAGGGCAGAAGAATTAAGTGACTGGAACCCCACTTTTAGGCTCAGCTTAATTTATATTATCTTACTTCCGAGACTTATTCGTTGGGTACTCAAAGTCGCACGTTGCGTAATGGTAAGCCAGGGGTTTTTGTTGAAAAAGCAATTACCCAATCTTGGTAACCTTGGGCTCTAACGTAAAGTAGGAGATTAAGGCACGGGAGAGAGGAAGGGGGTAGGACTGAAACCATCAAATGATGTTTCGCCTATCTATAATGAAAACCAGCTTTTCGTGACCCCATTCTTCATCGGCATCGACTTGTTCAAAATTAGACTCACACTTTACCGTTATCGATCGATTCCATGCGAGAAAGATTACGATTTAATTTCAGAATCATTGTTACAAACGATGTGCACCTCGACGTGTATTTTATGCTAAAAATAACATCAGTAATTGATTTGAAGTTACAATTTCCAAGAAGCTTTTGATTTTGATGAGAAAAGTTATTACTCGTCCTTGACGCAGCAGTTGTCTAATGCATTCTCTTTTCATTCTCTCCGCTAAATGATAGCTTCAGCATAGTCAGCATACATTGCACAGGGGTGCTTTAATTCACTACAACTAAACGCAATTGTATTTAACTTTCAGACAAAGTCATGGTGTTAGAAGGCCTCAGCACGAATTATGCAATGGAAAGAAATGCTATCCAGCAGTCTCTGCCTGCTGTTACAGTCTGCGCGATTGCAAAGTGGAATCCTCTCCATTTCCAAACCGAAGTTGAACAATGTGTGTTCAGCTACGCTGTCTCAGACTTATTCAATGAATTGGTTCTTTGCAATTTTCCCCCTTTCCAGGTCGTCCTCAATGGCGAATCGAGGTTCAGTCAGCTTTGTGCTAATTTACCCTGTAGGAATAGAATAGTATCGCAATAGTCAAATGTAGAAAATTCCTTTCCTTCGCTTTTGAGAATACCTGCAATATCTTTCTCAAACTTTTCATTGTATGTAAGCAAGGATGAACTGCTCTATGTTTTATCCGAGGATTAACACTTTGAGGAGGTGGAGGGCAGAGGCAATTCCATGTTTCAAAAAAGCATTTGCACCGACTTTGATAAAACGTATCATAGTTCACGTTATCTTTATTTTCTCCTAAGTTCTAATTCCTTTCCTTTTTCTTTTTTTCGAAAGGGTGGGTGATAAAGGCATTCCTGATGATGGGTTATTTCACCACTTCTGTTTCACATGGAGCAACGACAACGGAGATTATAAATTCTGGCTGGATGGAGAAGTCGTAGGGAGTGGCTCTGACTTTCAAACTGGAACCATGATTGATTACGGAGGTATCGTAGTCGTTGGACAAGACCAAGACTCATTAGGAGGAGGTTTCGAACCAAGTCAGTCCTGGGCCGGTGAAGTGTCTGGATTGAATGTATGGGGAGAGGTTCGGTCGGACACTGACATTGTATCTGAGTTCCAGGAATGTCTCGTTACCGAGGGATCCATAATTCAGTGGTATCAGCTGTATGACAAAGACAGTCTTCATGGCAACGTTTGCGTTTTTCCTTAAATTCTGTTGAAAACAGTCCCTGGTGGCTAACACTAATACGAAATAAATGTCAATTGCCAGATCTAGTTTCGTTGTCTCGTTTTAGTTTGGAGCTTGACACTAGTTATTTCATTTCCCCTAACCTGAATTTCAACCTTTACCACCTTTCCTTTCTATGACCCTTTCTCTCGCCGTAAATGCCCTTTGCGAAGATTACTCAAACCTATCAAATTTAAAGACACAACTTTAACTCACTGTTCTTCTTGCACAACGCTGCATTCATTTTTGAAGTGGAATATTATATTCCTGGTCTGCTCGTCCCTTAGAAAACAAAAACATATCTTAAAGTACTTCGCACGTAAAGGCGATCATGCAAGGAAAAGTGCACGAAAAATTAGGATTGCCTATATGCTTATCAGTCTCGTAATTGTTGTGTTGTTTACGCGAATTTTCCTTTTTCCCCTATAACTTCTAAAATATAATCAGTTCCTCAGAGTTCCATTTGTGTTCAATGTGAGGCCTCAACGGCCTTAGCAACTTTGAATACCACTTGGCCTGTTGACATGTTTACTTCCTGTGGTGCACCATAAAATTCCAAGGAGGTCTCACCAGAATATTGTGACCAGGCTCATTTCATCCACTCATCCACTTCGTCTACAACTGTTCGTCAACATCTGATAAAGACGCCTTTCCACGTGTACAAAAAAATCATCTCACCAGGTGGACTGCGTACAGTTCTTGTCATCAGATTCCTCTCGGAAATTTACTGTAGAAGTAAATTGCCTAACGATACAGTTGTCGCACAACACAGAAAAAAAAAAGAAACGCTTCATGGATCTTGTTTTAAGCACATCTTTTTCTCTCGACACCCAAACTCATTTTGTCCTCAGCACTAATGCTCGGTACAACCTCTCCTCAGCAAGAATACAATTTTCATTGACTCCCACGCTTGAACTCTTCTAGGTGTCTGGAACTTGCTGTTGTTTCTCGTCCTTGACCTAAGGGCTTTTTACTGACGATGCCAATGACGACGGAATTTAGTTAGAATACGTTTTGACCACCTTTATATTAATTACTTTGAATGATTACGAAGTAGTCTTCGTAATCATTCAAAGTAATTTATTTAAAGACCTGCCATTCTTTTGTTTCACTAGCTGCATTTTTAACCGAATTAAGTGATAGAAGTTGTTCACAAAATATTTCACAACATTAGAATTTTGGGAATCGTTCGTCAGCGATAATAACTGAGGGTTGTGCGGGAATGAATGGTTCATCACATCTCAGTGAGGACCTTGACGATCATTAATAATGACCATTACTTTTATCAAAGAAAAGTTATTAAAAATACTCGACCCTATTATTCCTGAATCCATCCAGCATTATGTTAACGCTTCGGTGTAAGGTATCGTGGGCTCCTTAATATACTGATACCGTACCGCACTCTGAAAACCGTACCAACAACACGTGTGACATTCCGTTTGTGCCTACAGTAACTCATTTTACACCTTATTTCCATTTCTTCTTCACGACCACTTCCCTTTGCTCTCCAAAGTTCTTTATAAGTCGCTGTTAAAGACATTTATAATTATTATTTAACACATCAACGGGTACTCGTACTTCCGAAACCGTTTCCTGTTTCATGAGTGCAAAGAATGGAATACTTTCATTCCTTATGGATAGATCTGTGCCCAGGGTGTTTAATCATGTGCGCCATGACGTCTGAGAAACCTCAAGCCAACGGCAGTCCAAAAAAAGTACAAAATAAAAGAAAGAAACAAAAGGAAACAGTGTCTTTAGAAAGAGACAAACAGTACTTCTACGTTTCTATGAAACTCAGTGGTACATTTCTTCATCGTATCAAGACGATTAAGATGGGAAAACTTCCTGACTCGAAATAGGACGATAATTGTGCTCCCTAAACAATTAATGCGAGGAAAATCTAGCAAAAATTTACGAAATAATAGAGTTGCATCGGTTGTGATAAAGTCTTAAAGGGCACCACTAGGCTTTCTTCGTGGCGTTTTGCCATCATAGTGTCGAGGTCGCCTTAAATCCACACTGAAACATAGTTTACGTCATACATCAATAGGATAAAAACGTCGACCTTTGGCCCATTAGTTTTGATCGCATTTGCAGTTATTCATAGAATTGAAACAGTTGTTAAAAAAAAAAGAATGCTCTAACACACCACAAAAACATCCTAAAGAAATGAAAATATTTATTTTTGAAAACGATTTTCTGTCTTGAGAGAGTACAAACTGTTGCGGAAGCGATACACTCAGCGGTAATGGTCTGTGTCAAGACGGACAAGACCAGTTTAATTCACTACAACTAAACGCATCTGTATTTACCTTTCATACAAAGTCATGGTGTTACCAGGCCCCATCACGGACTATGCAATGAAAGAAAACGCTATCGTGTACAATCTGCGTGCTGTTACATTCTGCATGATTGCAAACTGGAATACTCACCATGTAGAAACTCACGAATATCAACACGTGTTCAGCTATGCTTTCCCAGGATCAGAAAACGAATTGACTCTCCTCACACGTCCCACTTCCCGAGTGCTGCTCCATGGCGTCGGCAGGTTTAGTCAGCTCTGTGCTAATTTACCTTATAGTAGTAGAACAGCATTGCAATAGTCAAATATAATGTAACTCCTTCTCTTCGCTTCTGAAAAAAATCCCTGGAATATCTCTCTCAAACTTTTCATTGTATGTAAGCAAGGATAAAACTGCTCTATGTTTTATGAGGACTAACATTTTGAGGAGGTGGAGGGAAGAGGCAGTTCCATGTTTCAAAAAAGCATTTCCACCAACTTTGATAGAATGTATCATAGTTCACGTTTTTTTTTTATTTCTAATTTCTTTTCTTTTTGCTTCTTTTCGAAAGGGATGGTGACCGAGGCCTCCTTAGTGCTGGAAATTTTCACCACTTCTGTTTCACATGGAGCAACACAAACGGAGATTATCAGTTCTGAGCGTGAAAATCTTTAAAACTCGGAATATTTATTTTGTTTTTCCTTTGAGGATTTTCGTATCTGCTCACGTTTAATAACGTAAATTACGACGCCTGGTATGTTTACAAACCTTTGTTTGATTCTTCTGTTGCTACTTGCCGGCTCGCTTCAGTTCCGAAATTTCACTTTCAATTACCGGAAAAAAGCTAAAAAGAAGTCCCGGAAAAGGTCGAACATAGTACAATTGGCAGATGGCGTGACTGCTTTAGCTCAGCTCTATGCTCTATACTCTCATAGAGCACGCTCTTTCAACCAATGTCAGCGCGCGTTATATCCGATCTTTATTATAATGCTAAGTAAAACCTCTCCTCAGCAAGAATACAATCTTCACTGACTTTCACACTTGAACTCCTCTCGGTGTCTGAAACTTGCTCTTGTTTCTCTTCCTTGACATAAGGGCTCTTTACTGACGACGCCAATGACGACGGGATTACGACGTAGTCGTCATAACCATTCAAAGTAATTTACACAAAGACCTGCTATTCTTATGCTTCACTAGCTGCATTTTCAAGTGAATCAACTGATGGGAGTTATTCACTAAATATTTCACAACATTAGAATTTGGGAATCATTCGTCAATGATAATAACTGAGGGTTGTGCGGAAATAAATGGTTCATCACAGGTCAAAGAAGACCGTGGCAATCATTGATAATGACCATTACTTTAATCAAAGAAAAGCTATTAAAAATATTCGACTCAATTATATTAGATTCTATCTAGTGTTATGGTAAAGCCTCATCTAAGGTATCATGGGCTCTTTAATATACTGATACCATACCGCACTCTGAAAACTGTACCAAAAATACGTGTGACTTTCCGTTTTTGCCTACAGTAATTCACTTTACACCTAATTTCCATTTCTTCTTCACGACCACTTCCCTTTACTCTCCAAAGTTCTTTGTAAGTCGTTGTTGCGGACATTCATAATTATTATTTTACACATCAACGGGTACTCGTACCTCCGAAGCCGTTTCCTGTTTCATACGTGCAAAGAATGAAGGACTTTTATTCATTAAGGATAGGTCTGTGCGGAAGCGATACACTCAGAAGTAATGGTCTGTGTCAAGACAGTTGCTATGTAAACAATATATACTATGGCAAAAATAGATTTAAGGTGGGCTTGCTGAAACCGTGGTTATTCTTTTTCTGCGTTCAAGTTTAGCCGTCTCACTGCTGTCTGTTACTGCAAAGGAAGATGTGGCCCCTATTTGCTCATTTTGTATAGTTTATTTGTGCAAACCCGCCTGGTAAGTATTTTTCTTACTTCTAGAGCTGAATGTGTACATCCAAGGTTAAAAAAGAGGCTTGATTTATTCTGTGTTCAAGACGTCATAATTTAAAGTTGGAAAACGGATCGAGAGATTCAACAATAACAACTACCGCACTGGTTCCAAGGCGAAGACAATCACGAATTAAACGCATTTTGTGTCAACGGCAGGTTAGAACTGACTGACTGTGTACTTGCAATTTAACCCCAACCCTAAGCTCAATTCACTTGTATATACTACATTCATAGCTGAGGTAACTGCCATTGTAACTGCCCAAACGGATACGTGGTAGTGACTACGAGACAGTGAAAACAGTACTTATTTTTCAAACTCCTTTCTCGGCAAAGTATATGTTACTGAAACGCAGGGTGCGAGTCACTTAAGACTTTTATTCTCTTCTTAAGTTTACATTGAGGCACTGATCCTTTGTCTTTGTCCGAGGAAGAATCATTGCACTGCACTGCATGGGCTATGTCAAAATACGTCCATATATATTGCTCGTTGAGAATCGCTTTCAATTTATGTAACGGTTGTCTCGGACATGGACTTTCTTGCTTTCAAATTTTCTTTCTAGAGAAATATCGCGTTAAATATTTGCTATTATCGACCACTTTGAGAACTTGTTAAAAACATAGCTCTTGATCGTGAGATGATCAAAAATCATTCGACATTCTGATCTTTCAAGAAATAGTAACCACAGCGATCCAAAGGCGTATGTTCCCCAGTTTATCCT